GGATTGTAGAAAACGAACCAAAAGAAATCTAATCCAACATACTTCCATTGCAATTCGAAAATTATAAACATCATTCAGTAAGTATCAGAATTTATTAGAAGCAAACACTAGAATACAATAGAATGTTCTTAGCTATAAGTGAAAGTAGAATAAAAGCCTCTTAAAGTGCAAATCATGCATAACAATAGTTGGCACGAAGAGAAAAGACACTCAACCTAAACTATAGACCATACAAGAATATCTGTGACAGAGCTTATTAGAACATACCTCTTTCAGAAGTTAAATAGTTATGAAAAGATAAAATCAGTGAAGACTAAAAACCAGTCAATAAACAAGTTTTACAGTATATGCACCCATCAACTAAGGTTTCACCATTTTCAAGTGCAAGACTCTCTGGCGCCACTACAAATCCACTTCCATGACCCAACTCCACCAGGTCCACTAATTAGTTTTTTATAAAACAGCAGCACACCTGTCTCGTCAATTCACTCCTTCCATCAATCTGATCAGCAATACAATAAAGCCATTTAATCTAAACTAGAAGGAATCGACTTCCTTTCCTTATTTGATAGTTGATTTCTCCATCCGAAGGTGTCACACCATAGTGTTATCAAAGGCGCACTTAAGCCCTAAAGTGAGGCTCAAAACGTGTTGAGTGCTTCGCCTTGCTCTATGTGCGCTTTGATGTCGTCATCAAGGTTCTATGTCAAACATTTCCTTGCCAATGAGCCTCTTATGAAGAATTTGAAGCTAAATAATTGATATTTCACTTTATCATAATTTTTTTCAAATTCTTTGGTCATATATTTGTCATTTCATGTTTATAATTATTAGTCTTGGACTAAAAATATATATTTTATTCTTTTCTCTTTTTTCGCCTTTTTTCGTTAAAGCCCGCGTTTTATTTGCGCTTAAAGCCCAACAAAACTTAGAGCTTTTTGCGCTTTTTGCCTTTGATAACACTACTCACCAACAATGGAATCCCACCTGTCTAGTTCCTAATGCATCCAATCACCAACATATTGAAATTATCTAATCTGAACTAAAAGGGGTCACCTTTTTGACCCTTCATTGATCTTTTCATCCTAATAAGTTGAGTCCTACCACCATGAGAATTCACAACTCAGCCTTTATGGCAGAACAATAGATAGGATGAAGAAGGAAGTGCTGCAACCAGTTCACTACTCAAACTTAACTGTTAAAGGAACACATAGAAAATTAACCTCAATTCTGTCCCCTTAATGAATGAAATTAAGGAAAATAACCTCACTCTAAATCTTAACCGGCGGAGTTACTTGTCATCTGCAGAAGGTAACCACCGTGATCAAATCCTCCTCAGAACAGCCACCAAGGCACATTCATGTTAGCACCTTTACTCGACTATTACAACATAATCATTACACATAACAAGTGTTACACATGCGAAACACAATTAGCAAATGATACACATCTACATGACAATTTTGAGATCAAGCGCAAAAGTTCTTGGAGATCTAAAGTCAAACCATTACTTTGCATTAGCAAAACGGTAATTAATCTCATCACTTCGAATCAAATCTACTAAAAACCCGGAAAATTTTCGGAATCACAGAAGCAATGCACAATCAAGATCTTCTCAATTTGATTCGCCAATAGATCTGAAAAGCACAGGGATATTGCCGCCGAGAAAAAAAGAAAAAGAACGTGTGTAGCTTAAAAATCAAGAAAGCCAACCGAAATTAGGGTTTTTCACGTTCTTGAAATCGAACATTTTACCTTGTGATCGGACTCGGAAGCAAGCGCCGGCGAGACGAGGAGCAAGGCGGCGAGGAAGGAGAGCAATGTTAGTGATGGGACGGTGGACCGCATCATAATCGCCGGCGACGATAGGAGTGGCTCGTGAGATATTGGCAGAATGAGACGGGGGATCCGACCCAAAGTCGTGAACGGACTATATAGTAGAGTATTAGATGATGATCTGTTTTCAACAGACTCGAGAAGGAGAAGCAGCAGCACCGTATTAAGAAGCTGTTTATTTATTAGTATCAGCTTTCCTATTTTTTTTTCCTAAATAAATAGAAAAATCTACAATAAAATACTCCATTTTAAGGATATTTAAAGAAAAATTAAAATAAAATAAAATGAGAGAAGAATCAGTTCTACTACAATGACCAAAAATAGCACTTAAAAAAATGGACTCATGTATCAAAAATAGCATAACCGCGCCTTAATTTAAATAAATTGTTTATTTTATTTATTATTTTCATTTTATAATTATAATTTATAACATATTCACCAATATATAAATTATTTTTTTTACTTCTATGCATGTCCACTATTTTTAACACTTAAAAAAAACAATGAAAATTAATTCATTTTAGTCGAGATGTTTTTCTTTAAGACAAAGTCTTTCACTATGTTGTCTTTTTCCTTAAGCCTCTAGTTTAGGGATGCTCTATTCTAGTGCCCATGTTGCTACAATTTCAAATGTTAACAAGGTCTAGCGTAGATTATATCAATTTTTTTAAAGATAAAAATATTTACTTCTTATGTAAAATAATTCTGGAAACGAATTCCCACAATATATGCAAGTCATGGGAAATGCTCATGGGACCTTAGTCAACGATTTTTTATTATTATTTTTTTGATATTTTTTTTATTTGATTGAAAATGTTTGGATTACGATAAATGTTATATATATTAAATTACAACAAAATATAATAGATTTTAAACATAATAAGAAAAATTTTATTCTCAAAGGATAATTAACTAGGGATATTTATTTTAATATATCTTTTACTCAGTTAGTCATAACTTTTATAATTTGTGTAATAGATCTAAAATATAAGATAGAGTTTGGGACAAGTAAGTCAATTTGGTGTTACTTTGACTGTTTTATCATGCAATGGATTGTTAGCGTAAGGTTAAATCACAAAGAGGTCTACATTAATTAGATAACTTAAAATTTAGTTTTGCTTGGAATTCAAGTTGAATAAAGTTTAATCGACTTTCATTTAGGATTTTAGAGAATTATACCTATTGTGAATTCAAGTTGAATAAAATTTAATTGATTTTCATTTAGGATTTTAGAGAATTATATATCTTGTGAAAAAATTATTTGTTCCTCTTATTATCTTTTAAGAGATTAATCTTCTCATTTTTATTCTTATCTATAATTTTAATTGTTTATCATTGTAATTCCCGAATTTAAATGTTACTCCATTAAATTGATTTAACTTTCAGTAATTATTCTAAGTTGATCCATTTAGATATTATTGCTATAACTTGACTATTAATAATTATATTAATGTTTGTATCGAAAATTTGGATTTGTCTTTTAAAAAATGAACAAACAAAAAATAAATAAAATGACGCAAGCAAAAGCGGTGCATCTTAATATGTGATAGAAAAAATAGATCTTAATAATTTCAAGTTTCGATAGCATATATTTGTGATTTGACCATTATTTTGAATTGTTGGCATGGAAGGAAGAAAGAGGTATTCTTCAGCTATATTAGGCTTACGCGAACCGTTTAGATATGCAGTTTAAAATTATAATACGAAGTAAAATTAATATTGAATTAAAATTTTAGTTAAATATGTATTTTGAAATTATTCAGTTGTATTTTTATTTTTATAAGAAAAAAAATTCATAAGTTGTAAATGCTATTAAAAATATTTTCATTTCTTATATAATATTATTGAGAAAGCAATTCATAATTCATAAAAATAAGATATCAAAATATTTAAAGATGCTGCTTTAACTTGACAAATCACATATCTTAGTATTTTTCTCTTATAAATAAATATTTGCGTTTACAATTTTTTAATACACATAAATTTATAAAGATTCATCCGTTAACAATAATAGCTACTAACTAGTTATTCTTAATACATCAAAATTAAAACGATGAATCTACTATTTTTTACGAAATAGAAATCCATTCATTGTCTTCTTCTCAACCTCTCCTCGATCACTGAACTGGATTACTAAACTCCATCTTCTCGAAATCACGTTTAAATATTAATTTGAAATCATTATGGTATATTATATATTCTCAAGCTTCATAAAAAAATAAATCCTCTTTATCAAAATAAAACAAATAGAAGATATAAATATTTTTTAATTATCAAAATAATAATAATAATAATAATATGTGAAGATCAAGTAAATGCATTTGCAAAGCTATAATATAAAACAACTTAAAAGGTTGGTACCGGACATGGAACATGAAATAAAATCTCCTTACTATTTATTTAAAAAACTAAAAAATCCGTATTGTCGGGTCAAACTTTAATCGTAGCCGTAAAATGATGTTGGACTGGATTGGGCCAAACAACTGGACCATGACATCACACTATTGCCACTGAATTTGACCCGATCCACCGACAAGTCATAGCCATAAGGGTATATTTGATACCAAGGAACAATTATTTTTCTTAAAAAATTTATTTTCTAGTATTTCATAAGTAAGTCGAAAGATGCATTATTTCAAAATTATTTATATGATATTTAGCAACATAGCTCATAGATTTTAAACAATATTCTTGTAATTTGCTATATTTTTTTATTTGTATATGAAGTCATTTTATTTGAATAGAGAATCTTTCGAAAATAGTGTTTTTTATATTTATAAATATTGATAAAATTTGTATATATTTTATTAACTTCAAACATTTTTATTATTTGTTATTGTTATTCAACTAATATTATGAGAGGCAAAATCGAAGCTTGCAAAGGTTCGATAATCAAAGAGTGGGAGTTGAAGAAATTGAGATACACTTATTTTTTTTCGTATGTGTGAATATTTTTCTTTTTTTAAAATAATTTAATCGATCAAATATAAGAACATTAAAAAATATTTTTTTCTCCATAATTGACACAAACGTTAAAATTCGCCACATATTTTGGTTCATGATAAATAAAATTACTATCAAATAAAGGAATTAATTAAGAAAATAAAAAAGTAAAATAATTTTGTACAAGTACTATAAAAAAGGGAAGATTAGTTTGATAATGGAAATGTAGACTTTAACGCATGAGCTTTCAATAAAAAAGAGATATTCTTCATTCCTTTTTTCTTCACTTTTTCTCTTCACCATTTCACACTTTGTCCCTATTACTCCCTAGAATCTCTCGCTCTGTCTCATGCACACACAGACACACACTAGTGGATTCCTTGCTTTAGCTTCAAATCTCTGCTAATAATCCTGATTTCATTCTTTTCTCTCACCATAACCCCATATCAATTTTGTTCTATCCATATTCAAAGCCCCACAATTTCTCAAATCTTTGTGCTACAAGAAACCCTAGTTCTTTCTAAATTCACAGATTCTCAAACACCTTTTTTCCTGATTTGGTGAATATATGGTTCATAGTACGTTGTAATTCAGCTTAAAGGTGTTGAATTCAGGTTGGTTTTGTAGTTTGGATTTGGGATTTTATGGGCACTTTGTTAATTGCTTTAAAGATTGATCTTTTGTTTTGTTAAATTGAAAACCCCCTCATTCCCAATTTTGCATCTTGCAGCGGAATTTGGGTTTGATTGTTTTTGTAAGGGGAATTGGATAAGAAAGTTTGAAGCTCAAGTTTTGGTGGATTTTGTGGTTTGAATTAAGGGATTTTTAATTTTTTTTTTATGTAGTGAAGTTTATTTAAGGATAAGAAGATGGAGAAATACGAGCTTGTGAAGGATATAGGGTCTGGGAATTTTGGTGTTGCGAGGCTCATGAGGAACAAGGAGACCAAAGAGCTCGTGGCAATGAAATACATTGAGAGAGGACACAAGGTTTGCATAATTACTGTGTTTCATCATCAATCTAACATCTTGGAATCGTTTTGAATGTCTGATGTTCATCGTTTTCATTATTGTTAGTGTGTGTTTTTCCTCTTAATTATCAGTTAAACATCCATTAATCAACTAGGTCCCCTGGTCTCTTTTTTCATATGCAAAATCATATAAGCATTCTCAGATTTGAGATGCCACTTTTGTTGTAGATTGATGAGAATGTAGCAAGGGAAATCATTAATCATAAATCACTTCGGCATCCAAACATAATTCGCTTCAAGGAGGCAAGTGTGTTCATATCATCTACTATTTCGCAATGCCCTATTGCTTTCATGGTGTTTTCTATTGAAAATGGATAGGAAAGTTGATGAATAACTGACTTGACTGTTGTTTATTTGTTTTGTGAGATGCAGGTGGTATTGACTCCCACTCATCTTGCCATTGTTATGGAATATGCAGCTGGTGGAGAACTGTTTGAGCGCATTTGCAATGCAGGAAGGTTCAGTGAAGATGAGGTATAGTTAAAATTTCTAAATTCTGTAATTTTAGAAGGCCACACTTATGAGATCTTAAGAGCCTTGATTCTCTATCTTTAATGCCTCTCTCATTTGGTTCTTGCTTCTGTAATTTTAGGCCAGATACTTTTTCCAGCAGCTTATTTCAGGTGTCCACTACTGTCACAACATGGTGAGCAATATACAAGAATATTCAGAAAATTATTCATTACTGTGAATATATAAAATGTCATCTTTTTAATTTAATGGAGCTTAGTCCTCTTCAAATTTTCATTGCCTCTGCAGCAAATATGTCATAGAGATCTGAAGCTGGAGAATACCCTTCTTGATGGAAGTGCAGCTCCACGCTTGAAGATATGTGATTTTGGATACTCAAAGGTTGATGTGTTCTGCTGAATGCTAGATATAGACATATTAAATCCCGTAGGGATCACTAAGATGCTCATAGTTTTCTGCTGCAATTGCAGTCATCCCTGTTGCATTCAAGGCCAAAATCAACTGTTGGGACTCCAGCTTATATTGCTCCAGAGGTTCTCTCCAGAAGGGAATATGATGGCAAGGTAGAGTAATTATGTGTGATTTTTTACATTTGATGGAAAGGCATTATGCAAATTATTTTTCTCTGGCATCCATCAGCGTGGAGCTGAATTTGCTACCATGTGTGTCATTTATTTTTATGGTATATACTACCTTTCCTCTTATGAGTAGTTAAGAAACTACTATAACTGGTCGCTCTATGACTTGTTAAGAAGCACTATAACTCGCTCTATGACTTGTTAAGAAGCCACTATAACTCGCTCTATACTTGTTAAGAAACCACTATAATTGGTTGTTCTATGACTTGTTGAGTTACAGGTGATGCTTCCATCTTTGTGTAAACTGCATCTTTTTGCTTACACCCTTCCCGTTCTTTCCTAAAGGTAGAGTGTTTTTACTGATCTTTATCTTAGGCCATGAACGTTTGCTTGTGATTATTTCAGCTGGCTGATGTTTGGTCATGTGGAGTGACACTTTATGTGATGCTGGTTGGGGCATACCCTTTTGAAGACCAGGAGGATCCAAAGAACTTTAGGAAAACCATTCAAGTGAGTATTTTCAAGTCTTCGTATATCCGACAAACTTCATGCGATGCTTACTCCTTTTAATTTGGTTTTGATGTTTTATTCCAGCGAATAATGGCGGTACAGTACAAGATTCCTGACTATGTTCACATATCACAAGATTGTAGGCACCTTCTCTCTCGCATATTTGTTGCCAATTCTGCAAGGGTATGCTCCTCTCTTCTATCTTTATTGGGTGTATTCTAGTTTTGAATTTTTAATGGGCTAACAATCTGATAGAGATGTTAGGTGTTTAATGCATCATTTACTGTCACACAATGGGGTCTATGCATCTGGCGTTGTGGTGCCATTTTCATCTTTTTTCAGCCATACACATTTGTGATTTGACAGATTATCCTCCAATTAGGTCATCAGTGTTATCATATACTGTATATTTGAGATCGCCTTATCTGAGCCAAAGTTTTAAACTATGATATGTTGGATAATTACATCAACCTTCCAACACCTTTTTTTCTTGGTCTGAGCTTCATCCTTGGTCCCAGTAGTAACCCCTGCACCCTGGGAGTGAGTTGGTGTTGCTCATTTAGATAAATGCGACTAGATAATCTTATTCCATGGTTCTTGTCAGGGTACTGTTGTTCAATCCTCCGACTAAATTTGAGTTAATGTCAAAGACTACAACAATTGCTTGTGCTATTAATTAAGCAGTGTTGTTTAGTCAGTCGGATCTAATTGCATTTACCTTGCTTTATTCTTAAACGATCAGTTCTCCCCAAAAGGATTTATCTTCTAATAGTGTGTCCTCTAAACAAATGGAGTTGGGATAGTTGTTTTTTAAATTCAGATGCTACTGTATTAAATGATTCCTTCTAACTTGCTTTACGAAATGAGAGAGAATCAGAATCATCCAGAGGGGAAGTTAAAGTGATATCTCAATTTGATGGTAATTTATGATTTTGTAATGGTTCCTATAATTGTAACATTAGTCTGCATTTCCTATCTTTACCGTGAGAAAAACCTGAATCAATATCTGCTTCGTCATCTCTTTGAACTTTTAACATTATAAAGTGTGTATAGCAGTGGAACATGTCATAAATAAACAATATATGCACTAGCATTAATTTTTACTTTCATTTCTCTGCTCCTGGCATTCGTACCATATTGGAGGGGGGAAAAGAAAAATGAGGAAGCTATAACATATTTTAAATAGGAGGATATTGTGGCGTGTCTAATAAGCAGGTTTATTTTGCAGAGAATCACAATCAAAGAAATCAAGTCGCACCCATGGTTCTTGAAGAATTTGCCTAGGGAGTTGACAGAAGCAGCACAGGCGGCTTATTATAGAAAAGAAAACCCAACATTTTCACTTCAGAGTGTGGAGGAGATTATGAAAATTGTGGAAGAGGCAAAGACTCCTCCTCCAGTTTCCCGTTCAGTCTCAGGTTTTGGCTGGGGAGGTGAAGAAGAAGAGGAGGAGAAGGAAGGAGATGTAGAAGAAGAAGTGGAGGAGGAGGATGACGACGAAGAAGAAGAAGACGAATATGACAAACAAGTGAAACAAGCACACCAAAGCTTAGGGGAAGTTCGTCTCACCTAAGCGTAAATTATCTTGCTTGCTCGCAGAGAACTGTGGACACACACATAGCCTATTATGTCTTTGGCATTTCCTGTTTGTGTAAAAGTTATTTCACCTGGGCCTACTTTATCCTTTTTGCTTGTAGAAAACTTTAGCTATTAAGTGTGGCATTTCCTGGTTGTGTCAAGATTTTCTTTTTTCTGCTGTGTGGAACTTAAAAGAAGTCTGTAAATTTCGAGTTTTGAGGTAAGGTAGCTTGTGAATTATATTTCATTAAGACAAAGGCATTGGTGTACTGAAGTTGAACCTCAGATGAGCCTGAGTTATAATTAAGAGGAAACTTTGGTAAGTTTTGTTGTATGCATCTTGGATATATTCTGAGGATTTGCACACATGGTCCTTATATGCTTTTTATGGGTTTTTGTTATGACTGCTGATGTTTGATCTTGTCAGTATTACATACATAGGATGACAAGCATGGTGGATTCAGAAAAATTAAGGTAATGTGTTTGGGATTTGTACTTGGAACCTTACCATGAGTTTGTGAATACTTAAACGACTAAAGGTATGATCTGGTTACATTTTGTTCAGAATGATAAAGAAATAAGATGAGAGGATATATAATCCTGATGGTACAGTTTTTAGAGTCCAATTCATCATATATTTTTTTCCAAAATGTGGACAATAACAACAATGATAGTAATTAATACAGCCGAGGGAGGATTAGCTCACAATTAATTATTATTTCAATTCTTCTTTTAACTGATTCATCTAAATTTAGATTTTATTAAGCAATGTTCTATATTTGATATAGTAATCCAAAATATGACGTGAAAATTAGAGTAAAGCAGGCCGTTCTTTTGTTAAGAAAAAAAGGTTAGAAAAGCCAAGAGTGAAAGCAAGGTTGAGAAATATGAAGTTCCAGCTCAATTTACACTTGCAAGAAGCCAAGAGCAGTCAAATCTGTATTTTTCAACGTTCTATATTTGATACTTCTCGTTTCTTATGTTTTGATTTGACACTAACTTTTAAAAAGTAAAAAAAAATTAAAAAAATTATGATCTTAAATCAAAGATTTTCAAATATATCAAACTATTCTTTTGATTTCTTTTGATTTGAGATCTTGAACATGTTTAAAGAGTAGAAAAAAATAAATAATATTTTTCTCTGAAAAAAACATGATAAAAGTAATTGAAATGGACAGAGTGTAATGGTTTATTAGTTTACTATTCAAAGATTCCATTGGAAGTAGAGGGGAAAAGCCAAACCTGTCACACTATCACTGCTATTTATGGTCGTTGTTTTGTATGATTGCAACTTGGATCTGAATCAATTAATGAAACAAGTGCAATTATGACAGCGTAGAATTTTAATTTTTTTTCACACCGTGTAAGCAACGAAGAAAAGTCGTTTTCTCTTTTATGAGAAATCAACTAAAAATGGATGATGTTACAAATGTCCATTTGTTTGGTACGTGAATGAGACTGAACGATAAAAATGGCAATAAAACTTTTTAAATTCCTATAACATTTGTCTATCCAAACAAAGGAGTTAAAGTGACTTTCATGTGATGTGTATAAGTAAATAGTTCACGAGATATGATCAAAAGTTTAGGTCAAACGCATAAAACAGTCATTTAGAACTATTTCAAGCAAATGTGTCTTCTGATATTTTTCATAGCAAGTTGGAAGTACTTTGTACATGGTGATTGGGTAGGTGGGGTGACCTAGGGTGTTTTACCCCCTAGTAAAATCCCTCATCATTGGCACGGAAGTCAAACAAATAAAAAAGATTTTTGAATCACATCTCCAAGACGCCATGAAGTACTGAACTAACAAGAAACCCTCTAATATACCAACACAAAATCTATCTGAAATGGCGAGGAATAATATAACAAAGGTCAGAAATCTATGAGAGGCATATGACTTCAAAAATATCTTGAAAAGAAAAGTAAAACATCAACCTTGGCAATGAATACGTACAGTAAACTGTAGAAGATAAGTGAAATATCATAAACCTCTCTAGCACAGCATTGACAAAAGGATATCAACATTCCGGTGCCTGTATTAACTTCTCTAGACCAAAGTTCACTTCCAAAAATTTGATCAAGAAATATTTTAGTAACAAAAATCGGGGTAGCATTGCCTGTAAGAGAATGTATGGTGATCACCAGCATTTCTTCATTTTGCTATTTTGGTAGACTCCTTGAGCACTTCAAGTAACTTTCTGGTCTCAGTCATAACACATTCCCTATCAAACAGAGCAGATACAACAGCAACGCCTTTCAGGTTTGGGACCCCTAGTTGCATTACAGCCTGCGCATTAGACATGCCTATGCCGCCAATGGCTACAACTGGTAATTTGGAAGACACACAAACAGTTTTTAGACCATCCAAACCAATTGTTTTATTGTTCTCTTTGGTATTGGTAGGATATACACCACCAGAGCCGATGTAATCAGCCCCATCTATCCATGCTTGCTGAGCGTGCTCCGGTGTTTTGCATGATACACCAATGATTTTGTCAGGCCCAAGAAGAGCCCGCGCAACATGAGCAGGCATGTCAGACTGTCCAATATGAACACCATCAGCATCACTAGCAAGAGCTACATCAATCCTATCATTAATCAGCAGAGGAACACCATGAACTCGGCATATTTTTAAACAAGCTTTTGCTGCTTCCAGAAAATCACCAGTTTCAACCTCCTTTTCCCTGTAGTCGTAATCAAAAAAGTCCACATCAAAATATAAATTCAATGATTCTACTTAAAATGGCAGTAAGATATCTAAGAATAAAATGCTATTAGTTGTCGCAACTATGTAGAGAAGGGTGTAATTCTTATTTCAAAAGTATCCTCTCTTTTTTTCATAAGTTCCGTGTTCAGTTAAACTACGCCATAAAATGAAACAAGGGAGTAGCTTATAACATCCATAAGTCTACTTCTGAAAAATCTTGTAGACTTTACATTCTTTTGAGTCCATTGAGCATTACTTCCATGCCTCTCAAGTTTGAGGATATATTGTCAATAGGTTAATGATTCTACCACAAAAAAGAGGCTAAATATGCAATTTAAAATCAGTCAGCCATTTGGATTGTTATTGTCAATTCTATTGGAAGACGTTAATTGCTATTAATAACTGTGTTCAGTCAAGAACAGGTCTTAGTCTCCTTGTATGCTCTTGGGCAAGTCTCCCTGAATGACCTAGCTTTTAAAGTTGAGTTGGGCCAAAGACCAATTTCTCCCTGAATCCCTGTTGTTATGCTTTTCAGTGTCGGACCTCCCGTATTATGTTAAACACACTCCAGTTATCCAGCCATGCATGTCACATGGAGACCATCCAACATTGGTTGAGCATGAAATCCTACTGTATCAGAATATTGATATGTAGAACTTGGGATAGTCCTAACGTTTATAGGTCTCTCCACCCTAGGCTTAGTAAATACAAATCCTCAGTTCTTTCTTACTCAGAGGAATCAATCGGAAGAATGAGAGAGGGAAAGAAAGTGAACCAATTTCAAAGAAGCCACAAACCTCAGCTGAATAATGGAGGCACCTCCTTCTATGGCAGCCTTTACTGCATCAACTATTGAACGACCCCACTTTTTGTTCATCCTTGAGTCAGTAACAGCATAGAGAAAGAGATCAGAAGGATCAAAACGTCGCCGCTGAACGTTACTTTTAAGCTTCAACAGATGATCCATAGGACCTTGACACCCGCCTCCAATGGCAATGTTCTTACTATAAGATAAAACAGCTTCAACATAGCGTTTAGCTACCTGGCAAAACAATTAAGTCGAATCTTTATGAAGCAATGAGCAAATTCCGTAATCAACAGAGAATCCAATAATTATCTTTTGGACTGTCAGAGACCCACAATTATTCAAAAGAGAGGAAGATGGTTGGTTGAAGGGTGAATTTTGACTACCTGATGTCAGAGATATTTGATGTACTATTCCCCTCCTTGCACTGCCTCATTAAAGGTACAAACAGGAGAGGGCGGAAAAAGAACAACAGAACGTTGTTTGTAAGGTGTTTGTACTTGCACGTTAAGCGGTTGTTTGGATCATGGACTAGTTTGTACTAATTACAATGCAAGTATTGTTATGCCATGAAAAATTATGTAAGGTTTCTAAAAGGCGAATAATAATGGAGGTCTCTATATTGTCATGTACTTTATATTTAGAATATTTTAGTGTTCAGATAACATTCTTATTTCACCTTTAATTTTACATAAAAGAATACAAAGAACCCACACAAGTTATGATAGCATTAACTACAACGCGCTTGCACTGCCTCATTAAAGGTACAAACAGGAGAGGGCAGAAAAAGAACAACAGAACGTTGTTTGTAAGGTGTTTGTACTTGCACGTTAAGCGGTCGTTTGGATCATGGACTAGTTTGTACTAATTACAATGCAAGGATTGTTATGCCATGAAAAATTAAGGTTTCTAAAAGGCGAATAATAATGGAGGTCTCTATATTGTTATGTACTTTATATTTAGAATATTTTAGTGTTCAGATAACATTCTTATTTCACCTTTAATTTTACATAAAAGAATACAAAGAACCCACACAAGTTATGATAGCATTAACTACAACGCGGGCTTAATATCACAAACCAAAATCTATTGTGCAGAGTTTTATACCAAAGATTAAAATTGTAGTACTCTGTTAACTATGCAGAATTAATACTATTGATCCAGAGTTTATGCTGCAAAATAAATGTTGTATTATTTAGCCAGAATTTTATGCTTGATTTTATTTTCTTAAGTGGTCAACCAGATGATCTGTGGCTCATAACAGACTTGATACATCCCAAAGCTTTCAAGTTCCTTTACACTAGAAACTCTTAACCTTGTGCCAATGTGCAATCTGTTTTGCAGCAATGTATAAAATAACATATATCCAGCTTTCGTACTAAGTCAATTACCTTAACAGCAGAAAGCATTTGAGAACCCTTTGCTAGTTCAGCTGCAACACTAGAAGCCAAAGTGCAGCCAGTTCCATGTGTATTTGGTGTCATTATGCGTGAGGACCGAAACTCATAGAAATCATTCCCTATAAAATCAATTGAAAAGACCGTAACATGTATGAGCATGTAGGCATTCAAGAACCATGAAAGCTTTTATGTAAGGACAAAAACAAGGATACAGTTAATTCCCAAAGATCTCAAGAAATTACTAGATATACGGTATACCATCATAAAACACATCCACAGCATCAAGAGAAGCAGGGAGATCGCCTCCTTTCACGAGTACATTTCTGTCCAAAAATTTAAGAGATTTTAACACATCAGAAGACAAAATCTTCTTTGAAAGACTCCGCTGTGACATAAAACAAAAAGAAGAGAATACACATCTTCGGTCTTCCTAGTTTCATTAATTTTTATTTTACTTTTTGTAGATCTTCCCTAATTGCACTACACTCTGGAACTAATACCAAAAAACTTGAACTCAGCATAAGCTTTGCAAGATTTTATTCTATTTCTTATTGCCGAATACTAAACAATTTTAAACCTTCAAATGTGTAAAAGAGCATTCTCCTTCTGTTTGAAATGCTGATCATTCTTCTCCCACTCTTATAGCCCCAAATCAAGGAGAAGCTGGAGAAGGATTGAATTTACTCTGTTTAGAGCACCCAGAAAATGAGCCCCTAAACTCCTTTTCAAGCATCTACAAGTTTCTTCTTCTTCTTTTTTTATTGAAGCTGGTAAAATATGTATTTATGATACAATCACACTACTAAGCTAAGGCAGCACCATAATTACAAATAAGCCAAGAACCCTACTCTGCAAAAAGAATTTTACAGTGAGCCTATCAAATAATCAACACATCTACAAGTTCTATTTTATTCAGTTCTAGTTCACTCCCAAGTTAATTTTCCCACTAAGCAAGATGAAGTAGGCATAGATCCATTCACAGAAGATCTCCTCGAAGTCTTCAATTGTTAAGAAAGTGAAAATTTTGTTTTTTCATTTTCAAGACATGCAGCTTCAGATATAAGATGTGTATAACTAACTTCCTGCTACATGTGAATGGGTGATACCGTGATAGTTCTGATGATTCATAATGCTTTGGTTGCCCTAATCAACAACTTGGGCCTCATATTTCCAGCAATCACGGATGAAGCGTGCTCAGTTGTTGAACCCTGGCCATTGTAGTTAATAGCAGAACATGAAGACTAACTGCAGATGAGGGTGCTAAGACCCATATGCAAATTACTGTTCTGTGGAAGCCAAATGTAGAATTCGTGTATATCACACCTCTACATACCGATAAAACAAGGTTGAGAATGACGGCTAGTTGGATTTGCATAGAGGAAATGCACAAGGGGTGGTGTTACATTGTACAGCAAATGATGGTTTGACTGATTTAAAAGGTATTTAGTTCCTTCTTGTAAGTGATGGCTATGCACGATATTTTTTCCAGCAATGGACTTTGTCCATAAGTAGTACAAGGTCAAGATATCAATTTCACTGTTTGAAAGAAAAATCTCAAAAATTAACCTTGGACCAATGTCATGTATTGCTTTTGCAGCAGAACGCATGTCGGCAATTGTTTCCAATGGCACACCGCCTAGTAAAGCAGAAGCCTCTTTCAAATTTGGGGTCACTATATCGGCCATGGGAAGAAGCTCCTCCCTGTTATCAGAAAATGAAAGGCTATGATTGGACATGATTATCCAATGAGTTGCAACATAGAGAATAAACATAGAAGATTCCACACGACATTACAGCATATAAATGTGAAAATTACATCACTACAAATATCAATGAAATTTCATATATTGTGCTTCAAGATTTATCACAAAAGCAGTGGAAATTAAAGACATAATGATGGTCATGCTTAATCCAACTATCCAAGCATGTGACAATTTACCATAGATAGCATGTCTGTCTAGGAAGTTTAGAGATTGATTTATATTTCATGAATATGGCAGCAGAAGATTAGCAATAAACAAATGTTTAGTCAATAATACACATGAGTTTACACGGAGGGCATGGAAAGAGTCTATCACTCTCAAGGTGACATACCTAAAGCTATCCAAAATAGAGGGACCAGCTAATGTATGTCCACTTGTGGATACCATAACAGGGTCAACCACCAAGGCTGTCTTCAAGCATTTGATAGCAGCATAGTTAATGTCGTCGAAATTTCAAAAACAGAACAAATATATTGTTTACCTTGTACGGGGAATTCCTTCAGACTTTGACAGAGGGTTTTCACTATGCCAGTTGACGGAAGCATGCCTGTTTTCACCTAAGACAATCTTAGTGCTGTGACGCAAAATAGACTACTGAGACATTAATGAAAACTGTAGATTGCTTAGTCCAAATAATGTTGGTATACTTATTCCATGTATAGCTTGAATACTGGATCAGGTTGTATATACAGTTGTGCAACATATACAATCGAGAAGACTTGAATAAAGCATTTGAGTCAGCTACAGAGGTAGGTTAATATTGTTAAAATAACCATTTTACCCCGCCTGTCGCATGGTATAATTTTGATAAAAGAGGATAATAATACCCTCCAGGATTAAATCACAGTGTCCCCAAAGCTAACCAAACATGGAACTCTCTTTTATCCCCCTGAGTATCCATGAACCAAATAACAATTAATTCTTTGTATTAATTTCACAAATATGGTGACATTTGGATTCCAAAAAGAAGACTGAAAACAATAATAGCATGAAATTTAACCAATATGTGTCACTGAAGAAAATTGTGCTGATAATTCGAAAAACCAGTAAATTAGCCAATCATTTCCTTTATAAGGGATGGTCTATCTACATTAATTTCAGTCATCCAACCTTTCCCTCCTAAACTATCTATGCTAGTTATTGGTACGTAGTTATGAGTTTCTTTATATGTCGTTTCCTGTAAAAATGTCGTGGCTAGTGGCAACGTAAGTTTTATACAACTGGATACAAGTGATTAATTCAGCTTTCAATGGCAACACTGAAAGACACATAAAAAGCAAAGAGTTTGAAGGAAACAGGGAGTATAATCCTACTATAAGATAAGCACCACTGATGCTGTGACAGGAAATCTAAACTTAGGAGCATCAAATTAGCAATATATGAATACTCCCAAACGAATATACTCATATTCCAGTTTGTGCACTATCATAACTTGACTGACGTGTGGCTATAACTATTGATAATCTAATCAATGACCGGGACTATTACACTCTTCAATTCCTCAAAATATATATTATACCGAAAACAAAATTACCAAATGGATGTGAACATCAAGACACTAACATGATATACTTACAACATTGGGCGGCATATCGGAAAGGACCGATCTCAACTGCTCTGCTACAAAATCCTCCGGCACAATGTTCACACCCTAGAACAAACCACACAACAAAATTCACAAAGGCGAACACAATAGCGAAATATCAACAGACTATAACCTCGTGGAGATTATTAATACCTGAACCCCTACGGTATTTTGAGCAGTAACAGCCGTGATCACAGTGGAGCAATACACTCCCCGAGCAGCACAAGCCTTGATATCCGCTTGAATTCCGGCGCCGGCGCCGGAATCGGACCCGGCAACCGTCAGAACATGAGGAACTCTAACTTTGGACTCATCGCACGACGTAGGCGTGGCAAACTTACCGTCTTGCATCGCCTTGACGTGCAAAAACCTATACTGATGAAAGCTTTTGATACAAGCTACGCCGGGACTCAACAGAACTGGAATCTAACAATTGAAATTCATATGAGAATCGAGTGTAGTTTTTTTTCATAGCAGGTGCAAACTTCGTAAATATGTTAGGGTAGCAAGCGAAGGAATGGGATTTTACCTGAGGTTTGGGAGTGAAGAAGGAAGTGGATAGAACCTGAGAGCATAAATGCGCCATGTGAGAGATGGATGACGCTTTTGGAAAGTGGAGTGTCCACGGGTACGGGTATGTTTACCCGTGAGAGTCGACCCAACGTATCACTTGTGATTCTTTCACTGGATGTGTGGGCAATTAGTGGCGTACAGCATAAGCTGATTTGTTTAAGATTTTCTTTTAATTTTTTTTTGACATGTTAAAATTCCTAGTAACCCATCTACTTGCAGAAAGAAAAAAGAAACAGAATAAAGAAATGAAATTGAAGTTTGTGTTTAAATATATATTTAAAAATATTATATATTATGAGTAGAAAATTAATTACTTGAAAAATTGGTTAAAGCTATTTTTAAAATTTTGAAATGCATCTTAAAAAAATTGTTCAATAATATATATATATATATATGTATAAAATAAAGGAGGAAATGAAAAATATGATGCGACAAACTTCTTTGATCAAAAATTTTAATTTTCTTTTTTAGATTTTTAAGAATTATATTACATTAAATCAATGATAATCTCTTTATATTATTATTTATTATTACTATCGATATAACGCAATCAATGTCATAATTATAGAAAATTAGTTGGTTTTTTCTTCGTTGACTGATATTTTCTTTCTTTAATTAGACTTAATTATGTATTCGTCATTTAAATAATTATTAATGAGTTTTATTTTTATAATTTTTTTCACCTTTTTAATACGTTTATAAACTAAGAATACACCTATATATAAGATATTTTTTGCCATTACTAGTTAGCTCTACTCCTTTTTTTTTCACATTCCTTGTGTTGTGTACGTTTCTATAAGGTTTAATAGGTAAATTTCATTGCAAATTAATGAATACCAAAATGTTAAAAGACATTATATTCAATGACATTTTACTATACATACGAATTATTATACTTTGCAGTTAAATCATATTTAAATATATAAATATTAGAAACATTGCAAATGATGGAGCAATTCAATTAACGTCGGGTGATGATTATATTTCAGTAATCATTTTTAAAGTTAAATTATCTATTTTATTTTATGAATTGTTAGTAAGAATACCAATTGTCTTTTATTATGAATTTTTCAAAAAAAAAAACATTATGACTATTTTACTAAAGATTAGTGTAGTTGTAAATAAGTGAAATTTGGAACGTTCATAATTTTGGATTTACATATTAGTTTCGGATATATAAAAATTCTATTTCACGGACCATACTTCATTTGAACTTATAATATCTATAATTACTCATTCGAACTAACACACATAATTTATTAAATCATCACAAACAACCACAAAAAAATTTGGTCAAAAAAATACATGGAATCAATTTGTGCCTATCTTGAAGGCGCTACCATATCTTTTAGTACGTAATGAATTAGGTGAGGCATGATCTATGAAAAATTGCAGGTAAATAAGTTTTCTTTAAAATGTCACATATTTTATATCATTTACATTTAAAATAAAGCATTATGACCATATTACTAGAGACTGGTGTAAATAAGAAAAACTTCAAATGTTAACAATTTTGGCTTTATATAGTTTCAGGTGTAAAAAAACTCAATTTCATTGTCCATACCTCCTTTTAACTTATAAATATTATAATTACCCATTCGAATTGACACATATAATTTACTAAATCAATACAAATACCCAAAAAAAATTGGACAAAAAACAACATGCAATTATTGTGTACCTCTCTAAAAAGCAAACAATTTATATTGTCATATCTTTTAGTACGTAATGAATTAAGTAAGCCATTACATATGAAAATTGTGGGTCAATGAGTTTTCTTTTAAATGCCACCAATTTTGTATCATTTAATATTTGAAGTAAAGCATCATGGTCATTTTATCATAGACTAGGTAGTCGTAAATAAGAGAAATTTTGAGTGTTCATAATTTTGGCTTCAAATGTTATTTTCGGGTATAGAAAAACTCCATTTCATAGTTCATACCTCATTTGAACTTATAAATACCTATAATTATCCAATCTAAGTAACACACATAAATTATTATATCATCACATACCCACAATTTTTTTTTGTCAAAAAACTACATGCAATCAATGTGTCCCTTTCTTGAAGGCAAACGATGTATACTACTATATATTTTAGACGTAATGAATTAGGTGAGCCTTGACGTATGAAAATAGTAGTTTCAATGAGGTTCTTTACAAGTGTCACCAATTTTATATCATTTAACGTTTAAAAAAAAAATATTACGACAATTTACCAAAAACTAGTGTAGTTGTAAATAAGAGAAAGTTAGAAATTTCATAATCTTGACTTTAGATATTTTTTGCGTATTAAAAGCTCTACTTCACGATTCATACCTCATTTGAACTTATAAATATCTATAATAATAATAATAATAACAAACAACAACAATGACAATAACAATAATAATAATTATATTTTTAGTAAGTTTTATTAAAAAGTATTAAAGTAAGTAAAATAATTAATTACAGAGGGTGAGCAAACCTCATAAAATAAGAAAAAAATTTAATCTTATTTCTATTAAGAAATTAAAATAAGTCATTAGTAAGTTTTATTAGGAAGTATTGAAGCAAGTAAAATGAAATATTATTATTTCATAATAATAACAATTTTCTACAAATGCTTGCAACGGAAAGGATAAAAATTGATATTATTATAAGTTAAAATTATCGGAATAGCCTTTCGTTAACAATTAAGCACGTTGACGAAGAACCAAATGTCAGAGCTAAAAAGGATTATATAATTTTGAAAAAATTGTACACTAATTAAATTAAAGTAAAACATAAAAAATAATTTTTTGAATTTTTTTCGAAATACGCTGAAACAGGCACGTTAATTTTAAAAGTCTTAGCTAAAAAGGATTTCATAATTTCGAAAAAAATATACAATAGTTAATTTAGAGTAGAAAAAATAAATAAAATTTAATTTTTTTTCAGAAAAAAGAGACGAAATAACTAAAATATAAATAAGTAATACATAAATAATTAAACTTCCATTATTAATATTTACATAAAAATAAAGGTAATAGATATTAAAAAGGAAAAATAAAGAAAATAATGTAATCTAGGTTTGAAACTGAGATCTTGAACATGAAAAGTGAACCTTTTGCCAATAAGCCAAGCTGCTCATATGATGGATGCACATAGCTAAAGCAACCATGTCGGTTAACTGTAGAGCGTGAAAACTAAAAGAAATATGATTATATAGTATATTTATAATTGAGGAAATACATAGAAACTCCAACTCTTTTTTGAAAAAGACTTAAATTTTGTGGGGCTCATAATACATTCCTATACTAATTTAAAGTGAAATTATTGAACCCTTTCATGAAATTCAAGATAGAGAGCGTATAACACTCACCTGTTGAGCGTGAAAACTAAAAGAAATATAATTAAACTTTTTTTTTTGTAATATTTTTATCAAATATATAAATAATCTTTTATTTTAGAATTAATTTCTTTTTTCTTTCTTCTCCTTCCTAAGCTTTCGCCATTGTCCATTGAAGGAGACACTAGCTTTGAGGGTTTCTTCTTCTTCTTTTTCTTTCTTTTCTCTTTCTCTTTCTCTTTTCATTTTCCATTCAAAAAAATCGTTAACAACTATTTGATTTCCTTTACGATAGCGACGATGAAAGATTTACTGCTTCATCCTCAAATTTTTACTCCTTCTTGCCTGATTTTTCTACTTCTTGGCCGGCGGGAGTGAGAAGCATCAGAGAATGATGCAACGTCGAAGAAAAAATCGTATTTCAAGTGACTTGTGATCATTAGCGGGGTTGAAATCCTGTTCAAACCAACCAAAAATTATCTCATCTGAGTCTGAAGAGAACTTATATTTTTTAAAATACAACTCATGTTGATTTAGAGCAAAAATCAATGCTACAATCACCAAAAGAAATTTTAATTTGATATCGGATTTATTTTCCAATTTAATTTTGATTTGGTGATAGACAAAATGAATATGGCAACAAGGTTGTCAACTAAGAAAACCAAGAGAAGAAGATCGAAGACTGAAAATAAACAAAATAGAAGAAGAAAATGAAAATATCTAATTAAAACTAAGAAATAAAAAAAAATCATATAATAATTGACACGTGGCAAGCAATAATTAGTTCGCACATTCACTTTCTTTCCTTATAAGTGGGATTGACTTAAAATGAGATACTTTTATCACTTTAAAATGTACTAGGACTCTTGTAAAATTTCAGTGTCTTTTCAAAAAATATGTTATAATTAAATGGGGTAATAATGAATTATTTTTACAATGGGAGATGTTCAACCAACGATAGTTGGCTGACCTGATTAATTGACATATGGATAAACGTACATTTTTTTACTTTTTTATCATTTCTTTCTTATTTAACTTTTTTTTTTACTTCTAATAAATATTTCTTAACTTCATTTTCTTAAATTGTTGATGTATTGAATAAATATTTCTTTTATCACAATAATTAAAAAAAAAATTAGAATGAAGTATTTAAAATACTAATATCATGCAATATTTTTTAATATTAACTAAAAATATTTAGTGTTTCAATTACTAGCACCTACAAACAAATTAATTCAAATTTAGTTTTTCAATTTTTCAATTTCTGCTTTACTTTTGGAGTATATATGTTAATCTTAAGGGAGTTTGGTGAAGATTATAATTAGTTTTGATGAAAATTTCATATATAATGAAGTAAAAAAAAAGTGATGTTATGTTTTGCTAAATCATATATATTAATAATGTTAAACTGTATATATATAATTTAAATTTTGGATGCATGTACAGAGTAGCATTGGACTTAAAATGACATATACAAAAATATGTACCAACAAAGTACCAAATACATGCAACACAATTCTACAACAATAATAACATATTCAATGAAATTTCATAAGTGAAGCTTAGAATATGTGCAAATTTTATCACTATTTTATGGAGACAGAGAAACTATTTTAGAAAGTTTCTCGGCTCAGATATAACAATTTCATAAATAAAGAAGAAAATATAGCAAGTCGCGAGAAAAAAAGTGCAAAGTCTACCAAAAAAAAAAGCAACCAAGGACTACAACAAAATAGTACAATAATCGATTTAATATACAACATACTACAATAGAGTATTGAAAATAATAATAAATAGCAATGAGATATAGCTACTATCTAGATCT